ATGAATGATTTTGTTCACACTTACTTAGTGTTTGAGTGTTGATAATCAATTCTAAGATAGTCAATAATGATAATCAATTCTAAGATATAGTATGGGATTGTCTACAGAAACTCAATGAGCTGGGGAAGGAAAACAAAGTAACCCTACTATGGGTTCCTGGACACATAGGAGTCGAGGGCAATGAATGCGCAGACGAGCTTGCAAAAACGGGAGCGGTCACTCCCTTCACTGGGCCAGAACCATTCTGCGGCGTCGGAAATGCGCAACTCCAAGAAATCCTCAAAAAGGAAGAGAACCGGCTAAGGAACAAACAATGGCTAGACCAACCAGGACTACGACAGGCCAAAGATCTATTGGGCAGCTACAACCAAAAAAGATCGGAACTGCTGGTCAACCTTAGCAAGAAAAGTCTCAAAACTCTAACCGGGTTTCTCTCGGGACATTGCAGACTGAATAAGCACCTACATAATCTGGGGTTGGAAGAAGGTAACACTTGCAGATTCTGTGAAGACGGTGAAGAAACACCTCACCATCTTCTACTGAACTGCGATGCCGTAAGCCGCTCAAGAATGAAGAACTTGGGAAGTCCCCTTATACAGCTGGAAGACATTCCAGCCCTGGAACCGCTAGACATCCTAAAATTCCTAAAGGACCTGGGACTAGAGGGGCTGCTTTAAGCAGGAAACCCGAACTTAGCAGCAGAAGGAGGGGTACAATAGATCAACCTTGGTCGCAGTGCAACTGACACCTCCAACACACACACACACATACATACTTAGTGTTTTCGAGAAAAAATGCAACTTGTTTGACTCAAAATGGCAGCAATGGAATGTTCTGAAGCATCAGTCTCAACCACAAATGGAATGTTATCTTCGATTGAAGTACCAGCCCCTCGTTCCTCATACGGAAAGTGTCAGTTAAAAATCGACGAACAATACAGGTAGTTTTCGTAAAGGTTCAAGGCTAACTGGATCAGGTTTCAAGGCATTATTCTCGATCCAAGAAGTTTGATTGATTTCAAGGAGTAAGAACTTTTCTTTTCGTTCATGGTAAAATTCTATTTTCTTATGAGTAAAAATTCTTTTAAATTTTTATCATGGTCTGCTGGATTTCTACTGCATATCGTAATATCATCTAAATATGCATAGACACCTTCAAGATTCTCTGATTCTGTTATATATCCCGCTGAAAACACGCAACTCCGTTTTCCACACCAAAAAGAATTCTTGGGAACTGATATAATTTACCATCTGCCTCAAAAGCAGTATAATGATTTTCGTAGTCACGTATGGGAACTTGGTGATACGCACTTTGTGAATCTATAGTACCTATTGAAAATCTTGAATTTCGCCACAGCACGAACAATATACCTATTCAATAAGTGGCAGAGGATAAGCATCTTATTATGTAAACCTGTTGACGGTTTGAGAATAATCGATCACCATCCTTTTCTTGTGCGTTTCATTTTTCGTTACCCGCCAAGAAGAGTTGCTTTCTTCTATGATTTTATTTGAAAGAAGGTTTCGTATTTCAATTGAAATAAAGAGTCTATCTTCTGGTGAAAATCGTCTAGACTCTGCTGCAATTGGCCTGCAGTCTGCTGATAGATTTGAAAATAATGTAGGCGGATTAATTTTTAGGAACGCCAAACTACAAATCGATGATGAGTTGTCAATGTACAAGGGACGATTAGAACCTCCAAAAGTTACTTCAAGGGTTGAATGCTGTCTAAGAATATCATGACATAAATCAGAAAGAACTGATAAACTTGATTTTCTGTGTATGCCTCATCATTTCTAAGTCTACAAAGCAATAACCTGATATTTGAGAGTGTAAGGCTGTTGTGGCAATTAGTATATATCCAGAGCTTGAATGTATAGATACATCGATAAATGAGGCAAAAGTTTTATTAATGTATGTTTCAGAACTCCCTGTATCTTATCTACTAGAGCATCAGCAACGACATTGTTTAATTTAATTTTGATAAGACATTTGGTTAAACTTTCATGTGCCGCATAAAGAAACCCAGAAGTAGGTATAATTGAGGCAGAAGCATTGACTTTTCTTTTGCTTAGACATACTTTGGAGAAATGTCCACGTTTACCGCACACGTTGAATCTTTTTTAGCAGGGCATAACGTGCGAAAATATCTTTTAGTACTTCCACAGAAATAACCTTTGTACACTTTCGTAGCAGCGGAGATGAAGTCTTCTCCATGTGTTTCTCTACTTTCAAATTGAATTGAGTTAATCACACCTTGAGAGATGCTATATGCTTCTGAATGTTTTTGTGCCGGTTCTAGAGATAGAGCTTGATTCTTGGCTTCATCAAGTTTCAAAGTAGTATTCTCCAACAATGTTGTCGAATTTGGGAAGAGCTTGGGCCACTAATGGCAGAATCTCTAATGTGACAGCTTTGAAGTTACAGTCTTTGCTTAGATGTTTTAGAACTTGTAAGTATTGATCAACAATCTCTCCAGGTTGCTGCTTCCTAGAGGTAAGGCAGTATCTGGCAAATATTTAATTTTTAGGTTTAATTAAAATTGAATCCAAAATCTTATTAGCTTCTATGAGTAAGAAGAACACCAGGATATGTGCTCATAATTGTTGTGGCTTACATAGTTCACCAAGAGTTTCAGTTTTCCATCATTTTCTAGCTTATCAACGGATGATATGAAATTGTTAAAAGTTGCTTTCCAGTGAGTTCACTTTTGTGCAGCTTTTGGAGAGTTTTGATCAGCGTCAAATTGTTCAGGTCTCAAGCCAGTGACGTTCATAAGGAGAGCATTTGTGTTCTGGCCCTTGTTGCTTTCGAAGTGAATTTTATGTGTTTCTACGTATTTTCCATTGGTTTTGGTCATATTGTTGTTTTCATAGTGAATTTTATAGTTTTTAGTATGTCTACGTATTTTTTAGTGTTCTGGCCCTTGTTTACAAAGTTAATTTTATAGTGTTTATAATGTTTCTACGTATTTTTTAATTTAATAATAAATTCTGAGATGGAGAATGAATATCTTAAGGTATTATTATTAAGGGAAAATCGAGCCTCTGTTAGATCCTTTCTTTTAATTGCAGCAATCCATAAAGCCCTGCGTTGTTTTGATAATTCACTTTTGTAGATCAAAAGCCGATGATTTAAAATAGCAGAAACTGAATAAAATTTACACACAAAATCTGATAATTCAAATCTTGACGTTTGTCCAGAATGTGACAGAAGTCATTGGCTTGACCCCCTTGACCCAATGCTTTACCCGAACTTCCATATTGAATTTCGTTTTTGACAGGTCAGTAGATTGCCTAATTGTAATGATTTACTGAACTACCTTTAGAAATTAGGCTTTAATGAACAAGAATTATACACATTTACAATGATGAAAAACTAATGACAATGACAAATACAATATGATAATAATTAATACTGATTACAAAAACTATAAGAAGATATCAAAAGTACCACAAGATATTGAAGATTATTCAGGCATATGCACCAACATCGACACATCGTAATGAAGAAATAGATATATTCTATGTAGACCTAATACTAAACGCCATCGAATAGAATCCTGCACGCACACTTCACAGTGATATGCGGCGACTCAGAAACAACCCTTGGAAACTTCAAAGGTGCAGGTGGAAACGAAAGAAAAGAAGCCTATACCAGATGAATAGCTTCTTTCAAAAAAGGGTCAATAGAAGATAGACGTGGCCATGTTCCGATGAAAGAACCCAAAACGGAATAGATTACTTCATTATCAACAAACGATATATATTTGAAAATGTCACGATTCTAAACAGATTTACGGTAGAGATAACCAAACAGCAGAATTACTGAGCAGAATATTATTGGGATGGGCAGCAGAAGGTAGATGTCTTCAAAAAGGATGTCCCAATTACACTAAAACGAAAAGCTTTCAACATGTGCGTCCACCCTGTGCTCACTTACGATGTGAAGACCCTAACCCTGACCAAAACATCGGCATGCAAGCTATAAAGAACGCAACATAAAATGGAACGCTCAATGCTTGGTATAAGTCTCAGAGATAAAATACGAAATGACGCCATTCGTAAGAAAACAGGGGTTGATGATGTTCTAGAGCGAATAATAACAGCAAAATGAAGATGGGCAGGGCATATAAGTATTGCAAAATTAAACGATTGTAGATGAACTCAGAAAATCCTGGCATGGCGACCAAGAGCAGACAGTTGAAGCCGAGCTTGACCGCCCACCAGATGGACCGAGGCTTGAAAAGGATTAACATCAACTGGATAACAACCGCGAAGGATAGGAAAAAATTGGAATGTCTCCTAGAGACCCATGTTCAGTAGTAAACCAAAATAAGGCTAAATAATGATAATGATGGAATGATTAATACATACATTTTCATTAGTAGAGTGGACAGAATATAAATTATAGTAAATGCTTTCAACTAAAGTACCAGATCCAAATCATATTTTAACTACATTTGATCGATTCTAAAATTTAATTTTTGACGTTAACACGCACAATAATTAATTTATTCTTCAAATATATCAACATTTATCATATCTAGAAACAGAAGCAATAACTGTTGATTTTTTTAATTTAAATTCTAATCTTGAATTACCAAAACAAATCGCTAGGAAAACGGATAATTGAAATTATTTATGACGTGACATAAAATTGGATAAACTTTGTATTAATTTGCGTATGTGAAGGTTATATTATGAAATTAAATCTTTAAGGTTTGTAAAAAGAAAATCATTGTAATTATATCATTGTTACATCGATGTTTGGCTAATCTGTTCTGGACATTTTCACCAGTTTCAAAGTACATATTTTAGCAAAAGAACTTAAAATATTCTACAATAATTAACTGCAACAACTATTGTTTGAAATACAAAAATTCGGGTTGGAGTGCTAGATTCACATACCTCAATTTATATGTAATGCTAAAGATATGTGTATTAGTAAAAAAATTGGCATAAATATAATATGCACATAAGGATATATATTGCGTGCTTTCATTTTCTCATTTTTTCTAGTAAAAAACAAAAATTATCAACAAGAGAGGGTGAAGAATCTAAAAATAATTTGCCTTGGTTTGTTTTCGTTGGCAAAAATCCATATTTTTCATAAGTTGCTAAACCGATAAGAAATCCGCCCAATAGTCCAACAATCAAAGTTCTATTTTGCTCAACCAACTGCATGCATGTTCTAGTCCAATTTCGTTTTGCCCTCTTCTGAACTAATCCATATCTTGACGTGGCATCGCAAATCTTAGTATTCCAATTCATCGGAATATATCCATTGTTAAAACCGATTTGTGATAAAATCAGTCCTCCACCAGCTATAAAGGCTAAGGTTCTGCCGTCGGTTCTACTAAGTTTTATGGCTAAAAGCCCCAAGGACCATCCAGATGCAGCTGACAACAAGGTTTGCTCATTTGGAGACAGTTTTTGGATTCCGAGTAGAAGTTTTTCCAAAAGGTATTTCATCAACGAAAAGTCTGAAACGTTTTTTTCTTTTGACAAAGCTGTGTTTGTTAGCCTGTTCTTGCAAACTTTACACGATGAAAATGTTACGATATACATTTTAAATCACTAAAAATTATAATAACTTTGATAATAATTGTAAATGTGTTTGCAAATGCATTGACAATAATTGACAACTGACAATACGTTGATAAATGAATTAATAGGTAGTGAAAGTAAAAAAGTATTTTACATAAAATCTGTTTTTTTTTAAAGATAAAAGTCAAAATGACATTATGTTGGCAATACAATGTAAAATTGTCAATGCTTTCAGATTTTTTATGTAGAAAAGGCTTGTGCTGCCAACATATAGTTACTAAATTTTTGACTTGGGGAATTATCTTAAAAAAAAAAAACAGACTATAGGATACAAACATTGGTAAACGTTTTGCGATTGTTCTGCTGAACGCTACGTTTAATTTGTGTTGAAACCAAACATATTTTGCAAACGGTCGCCATTTTTGCAAGCATAATTTAAGAGTGTTTATAATTTTCAACACTTTGTGTTTTGTGTGGTGACATGACATTCAGAGGTTGACGTTCTATCATTGAAAAGTTGATTCGTTCAGCAGAACCAAGAGTTTACCCAACGTATTCTGTTGGTATTTGTAAATTGTTTACAACCCGTTTTGGTTCTGGTGAACAGCAAAACTTTCCAATTTGTATCCAAGATATCAGAAGTTCGAAGAGGTAGAAGCACATGTTAGAAAAACATGTGGGATCCTTTTTCCTAAGGTTAATTTGCTCAAACCTAGATAGTTTCTGAATTTTTATCAGGATAACAAAAAATTTAGAATATTTAGGTATCTTTTATCAAACTTCTTCTCAAACAACTTCCTCACAAACTGTTGTGTGTTATACATAAAGTGTGTTTTTTTTTAAAGATAAAAGTCAAAATGACATTATGTTAGCAATGCAATGTAAAATTGTCAATGCTTTCAAATTTTTTATGTAGAAAAGGCTTGTGTTGCCAACATAGTTACTAAATTTTTGACTTGGGGAATTATCTTAAAAAAAAAAACAGACTTTAGTATTTAGTATTAGTAAGTTAAGGCCCATCCTCAATCAATCTGGTAGCGAAGTGGCACTTCGGCACGCATGCTAGGATAATGTTGTTTAACGTTGGCATCCTCAATTCAATTCCGTGCTAGCATGCACGCCGACTCTGAAGTGCAAGCTTGCAAGCTTAGGCTCATCCTCAATCAATTTAGTAGCGAAGTGGCACTTCGGCACGCAAGCTAGGAAAATGTTGTTCAACGTTGGCATCCTCAATTCAATTCCGTGCTGGCATGCACGTCGACTCCAAAGTGAAGTTTGCAAGCTGCCAGCTTTTTCGATGCGTGCCGACTTATGTCATGCGCAGTACGTTTAAAAATTAATTAAGGTTATCCTTGCGTTCGGTATTTTGCTCAAAGAGCAGAGTGGAGCCGTAATCATGTGACCAGCGAGCGCACCGAGCAGTTAAACGCTGTATCAGAGGGCTCGAAATTTTATTAAACGAACGTGAATGAGCCTGCACCGAGTACACTTTTTGAATAAACGAACGGTAAATTTATGCTTAGAGAACTCAGATCAAAATGCCGAATGCACGGTATGTGACCGTACTACACGCACAGCAGACTGAAAATTGACAGCATTGAGGATGGGTATAAATTTTCCAGCACGCGTGCCAAAGTGCCACTTCGCTACCAGATTGATTGAGGATGTAGCTACAAGCTTTTTCAATGCGTGCCGACTTATGTCATGCGCAGTACGGTAAAAAATAATTCAGGTTATCCTTGCGTTCGGTATTTTGCTCGAAGAGCAGAGCGTGCAGAGCGGAGCTGTAATCACGTGACCAGCGGGCACACAGAGCAGTTGAACCAGAAGGCTCAAAATTTTAATAATCGAACATGAATTAGCCTGCACCGAGTACACTTTTCAAATAAACGAACGATAAATTTATGCTCGGAGAACTCAGATCAAAATACTGAACGCACGGTTCGTGACCGTACTACACGCACAGCAGACTGAAAATTGACAGCATTGAGGATGGGTATCAATTTTTCAGCACGCGTCAGTGTTACCAGATTGGGGGATTTTCCCCCAAATTTGGGGGATTTTCAATTAGATGGGGGAAAATCTGGGGGATAGTTTTTTCTGGGGGATTTTTTGGGGGTAAGAATTGTAAGAATTTTCGCTATTGGGGGAAATCGGGTATATTTCAATGAATAAAACTAAAGTAAAAAATGTATTAAAACAACTGCGCCATCTATTTTTTCAATCAAGTACCAATAAAAAAGATACAGTTTGCTTCTTCTCCAGTGTTGCCAATGGACGGATTTTAATCCGATTTGCGGATTTTTTTTGGACGATCGGATTTTTTTCGAATTTTGTAATTCAGAGGATTTTTTGCGGATTTTTTTAGATAAAACGAATCAGGGCATGAAATCCCTCCAAAGCACAAAAAGCCAACATGGCTGCTATGGCAGTATGCAACAAAAGCGTTTGGTGTGGTTTTGAGCAAGTTCAAACTATCCAAACTTCTTGGTACAACTGTACTTATCTGTTCTGTCACCAGTCACAACATTTCATTTCATTTGTCATTTGTCAATTGTCATTTTATTTTTGGGATTAGAAAAATATAAACAAATAAAAAAGTGGTAAGGGTATGAGTTTTATTTTGAAATATTCAACGAATTTGTCTTTTTTTTTTTGCAAGTATGAGTCGAGAATAAATCTATATTTATTTGGGGGATTTTAGTTGACAAACAGTGATTTTTGGGGTATTTTTGAAATCCTTTGGGGGAAATTAGTTATAACCATCTGGCAACCCTGGCACGCGTGCCGAAGTGCCACTTCGCTACCAGATTGATTGAGGATGTACCTTAAAGGTACGGTTTGTTAGGAGAGTACGCGCCGCACAACTGACAACGTAAATAAGTCGTCCTTGGTTCAGGTATGACGTACACCCGTTACTTGACATCAGCGTCAGCGTCAGAAAACGAGTGTACGTCATACCTGAACCAATGACGACGTTTACGTTGTCAGTTGTGCGTCGCGTACTATCCTAACAAACCGTACCTTTAGGGTTGATTAAGTAACGCTCAATTGATGTTTGGGTACACCCATCTTAATGTAGATTTGTAGTTAGTTAGTGGCAGTTGCGGATCCAGGGAGGCAGAAAATTTTTTCGGGTGCCACGCCCAAAAACGCTTATTTTGCATAAAAAAATAATGATTTGGCTTGTTATGGAGAAACGGGCCAGATTCGGAAAAGAGTGGCCAACGGGCCACTCCGTCTTAAAAAAGGCCAGATCTGGCCATATGGGTCCACCTGTGGCAACACTGTATTAACCAGGTCCGATTGTTTTGATGGGACACCGGACACCCTATATATTAATAACTGATTGGATAGCTCTGCTTTTGCTGCTTTCAATGATATAAAGTTTGATAGGTCTATCTTTTTTGGTCGAGTTTTCCCGAGGGGTAAATCACTCCCCGAAATCGTCTCACAAATTCGTCCGAAATCCCCGAAATCTTTCCGAAATCCTATCGAAATCCTATTGAAATCCCCGAAATCCTTCCGAAATCCACGAAATCACTCCGAAATCCGCCGAAATCTCTCAGAAATCATTCCTCATACCCAAAAATCCCTCGCAATTGGCCCAAAATTCGTAAATCAATACACTTTCGAATAAACTTATGAGATAAATAACAGTCTAAAATCAAATTGAAATATTTGTGAAATCACCCGAGATTCTCCGAAATCACCCGAAATCACCCGAAATCCTTCGAAATCACCCGAAATCTTTTGAAATCACTCGAAATCCTTCGAAATCAACCGAAATCCCTCAAAATCGCTCTCTCTATATCCATAAGGAAAATGAGATATAGGTCTCCTTCTAACACATTGTTTCTCTTGACTGAAACATCTATAATTTTTTTTTTAGAAAACTGTTAGAGATAGGCCTATTAAACTTTATATGTGTCATTAAAATAAGCAATAATAGGCCTGTTCGCAGAACAATCACAAACCAGTCAGAGTGAATCTCATTGGTTGAAAATAGTTTTCTGACTGTTTCTGATTGTTTTCAACCAATGAAATTTGCTCTGACTGGTTTGTGATTGCTGTGCGAACAAGCCTATTAGAGCTATCAATGAGTTATTAATATATAGGGTTTTTTTATTAATACAGAAATCAATTATTTTCATAAATAAAAAAGTTAGGAAGGCTTCACCTTATCGCTCAAAATCGAGAAAAACCCTCTAGCGGCAAAACGGTTGAGATCAAAAGGCAGGTTGCAGTGTTGCACCAGTCATGATATCATTAAATTTGAGCCTCAGCAGACTGGAGAGTTCATTTTTATGTATCTGGCTCAAATTGACGTTTCAGATCAAAAGTATCCAAATTGGACCACCCTGTATCTACATTCTTTAACGTATAAGTAAAGTAGAAATAAATTTTCAAAAAATCATTGTTGATAATTCTTAGCCTGCGCCCCCCCCCCCCCCCCCTGAAGAAAATCCTGGATCCGCCACTGGTTACTGGTGTCATAATTGTTAGAATCTGTGATTGTTAGCACAGAACATATCACCTATAGAAAAATATCTCAAATGGGAGAATCGCGACGAAGGTTTTTAGTTAGGTTTTTAGTCAACCATGGCGACACTGTCGGGAGATAAGAGAAATTTACAGGTATCTATAGTGTGGACAGTGATTTGTGTTGGTTGGTTTTGTCATTAATTTTGTCATTTTAAAAGTCAAAATTTGAATTTTTAAATTGTGTTGTTGTAAACCATGGTCCCCACGCGCGTTAAAGTGAAAATTCAAAAAGTTTTGGTTGAAAAAAACCCTAATTTTTGTTCGTATTTTTTTGTATTTACTCGTTTGTTTCGTTTCGTTCGTATTTGTATTTATTATTCGTATTTACTTTGCGATCTACCTATAGCTGCGTGTCTCTTGCTAACAGGGACATAAAGCTACTTGAAATAATTCGCCGGTATCGGTATCGGTATCCGTAACGCAACTAGATACGTTGACAAGCGAAAAGGCTGTTAAAGCGCTCCCTGTTCCGGTAA